ATTATTTCCTTTTTTCTATGAATTAGCCTTTTGAACTTCCAGAGGACTTGGAGGCATCAGGATATGACGTGGATGGCTCTGGTTCAGGGGATGATCCAGATCAGGGTATATCTACACATTTCTTTTAAGAGCTGCTTTAAAGGACACCTTCTTTTTTTCTAAATATACTCAAAGTATATTTTTGTCCCTTTTTTATTTTTCTTTCTTTGAAAATGAAAAAACTCCAAAGAAGGGACTAACAACAAACCTGACCCAGTTATTATGTCAAACTCTGCAGATGGAAACACAAATTCAGCCAAAGTATGACTCATCTTTAAAATATCCTGCTGTTAACCTGTTATATGATTTATCATGCATATAATATGGGGGATACTTTCTGTTTTGCTTTAGAGCTCGTCAACTCTGAACCTGGGCAGCTCATACAGGCATGACAAAGACACTGCACCCAATTTTATTGTTATAACAAACAACAAAGGTGCACTGGGAAACAGCAAGATTGTTGAAGGTACTGTGGGATACAGGCATTATGCAGGTGATCTAGCTATAAAATGCTAATCTAAATGGAGTTGAGCTGTTTACTTTTTTCATCCACAGCGGCCATAGCAGGGGGGATAACAGGAGCAGTATTCGGAGTCTTACTATCGGCGTTCCTAATCTACAAATGGATGAAGAAACACACAGAAGAATGTATTCTTAGACAGAAGGGTTCAGATGAAGGCAATGAAAAACCATTCAAGGCAGTAGTCTTTATCTAAATGCCACATCCACAATGGTTTTATATGTGTCAAACACATATAAAACCATTCACATTGCTGTGAATGAATTTTGTCACAGGAATAAAGGGTTGTTTGTTTCATGCACTTAATCCACGTGTAAGGTGCTTCCCTAAAGTAATCACACCCCTTGTTTTAGCACATGCCAGGTGGCACTATGAAATAATGTTTAGTATCCACCACCCCTGAGCCTTGAGAAGTTCAGAAATCCAGAACTGAGCATCACAGAGACACAGAGGGCAGACAGTCACGCACACTCACACCTAATGGTGAAAGATTTAAACTCTATGTTGGAAGAGTCCATGTCTGTATTCAAACCTTCATGCTGCCAGTCTTATCTTAACATGCATTCTTGGCAATAGTTAACCTGTTTGACAAGAAAAAGCCTGATCTCTGATTTGGTTACCATTGGGTTGTTCTCCTCTTAGATTAAGATCCTTCATCCTCTGTTACCCAGTTGGGTTGGGAAACCAGATCTAAGCAGGGCCCTGGTGCTTTCAAATGTTAGTAATAATTAATTCCTTAAAAATAGAGCCTAAATTCCATTAAAGGACTAAGATGTTTGTGCCTCAAAGGAATCGTAGAGGTCTACTGATCTGTCCTTTGAAATTGTTGGTTGGGTTTTTGCTCTGATATATATATTTTTTTAAATCTGTCAGACATTTTAGGTAATTATTTTCCAAATAATTACATTTTGCAATGATCCATTCTAATCAAGTTGCAAAAACCATATAACCAAATACCATTGGCCTTTTTTTTTTTTAAATAAAATAAATCGTTTTTTGGAATCAGACTAATATAATCAAATGAATAAACAGACAAGGGTGTGAATACTTCTGGGGGCATTATCTATTGTTATATATGTAATAAAACTAAACGTTTTATTGAAGAACCTCATTTTGCCTGTGTATTTAAGGAATATGTTTTACTTTGTTGTCTGTGGTGGCTGACAATGATTTAAATATTTTTTTCCGGTAATCTAGAAGTTGAAGAATCAGAAACTAAGCTGGAAGTTATTTGTTAAAGTCTTCGACCTAATTTACCATAATCAATTTTGTTAAATATAGACCTTAATAATTTGACACAAGATGCACTAATTGCCTTACTGGTCAGTAGCAGTTACTGTTGTTTGTTTTTCAATTATTATGAAAGTAGGAACAAATCTGGGAATGTTATTTTTTATTTTTTTTTTCCTGTGGCAGCTTGTACATCTTTTCAGCACCTTCTTTGGTTTTTAACATAGTACGATCCACATATATTTGTGTAATTATACCAGAATGTTAATGCTATTATTCCACATCTTGGATTTGTGTGGTTTTCTTTTTTTGTTGGCTTTCTATCATTTACACAACAATGTATTGAGGTTGGTCAGAACTGGTGGCTGTTGATGTATTTCAGGTAAAGATTTGTCTCTCGGCAGATTCAGTCACGCAAAGGCAGTGACAAAATATTCTCCATAATTTTTTTTATTTTACCTAATAATCCAGAAGAAATCAATAAAACATTCAACACAACTGTTTGTTTGGTTTTGTTTTTATTTTTTTCTCAGTTGCTTCTTCTCTTGTGTGTGAGATTTAATTAAAATGTGTGTCAAGATATATATTTTTTAAATACTTGATATTTGAAAAAATTCAAGAGTTCTTCCATAATAAGACCCATGATGACTTTTTTTCCTCCCACTGTATTTGAGTGTGCACCTAAACAAATGTGGAGCAAGTCATGCCATGTTAATTTATATTTTAGATGCAATGGTGATTGGTAGCTTGAGTTAGAACCTTTAAATGTTGAAGGTATTTTTCTGGCCCTTGAATTCAAAAGTGGATTCTTCTAGAAATGTTTGGGTCCAATAACTGAATTTAGGAAAGATGCATAGTAAGTATCTCTAAGACTCAAAAAAGGCAAGCAGAACTGTTTCTTAGTACAACGTTTGACATTTGTATGAATAGCTGGCTAGTAAATTCTATCGTTGAAAATGTCATTTAGTTTCACTAACTTTATTCATTAGGGAGCACGCATTTAGATCACTTACACACTGATTTATGTTTTCAAGCCATTGTATCTGTTAATCATGTGTTTTTTTTTGCGTTGCTTATAGCAATTAAAGGCATGCCACTTAGAATGGCATTAGAAAAAATCCACAATTTTTTTTTGTAAATGTTGAATGTGGATTTTAGAGTAATTATGACAAAATACTAATTTGAAATTCTATCTATCATCCATCTATCCATCCTGTGGATACAGTATTTCCAGCAAATAGATAAAGAGACAATATCTGCAGTATAACCTGAAGTAGGACCATGTTATGGATGTTCCATCAATGTACAATCAATTCAGTTTGTTTATATGGTGCTGATTCACAACCAAAGTCATATGTAGATGCTTAATAGAGACAATCCAATCAAATCATCCAGCTTGGTTAAAAGTTTTCTATCTAAGGAAACCCCGCAGATTGCATTGAGTTGTTGGCTTTGCAGGGTTCACTTCTCTTGGATTAGCATGTAGCAACAGTAGATATTCACTTGCATTATGATTTATTATTATAACCTTGACTGCAGCAATCCCCCGCACAGAGCATATATGCAGGGACATTGGGGAGGAAAAACTCTCCATGAAGTGGAAGAAACCTCCAGCAAAACCAGGCTCAATGTGAGTGGCCCTCTGCCAAGGTCAACTGGGAGTTCAAGAAGACAGAGGCACACACAAAAAAAGCAACACAGAAGCATTGATCCATCTTTTCTGTGTTTGAAAAGGTAATTCCACAGGTAGCTCAGTTTAGGAAAAGAAATGGTTAAACAAGCAGATGATCTATGAGCTGGTAAGTATTGTAATGCAGCATTAGCTGCATTTGTAAATTGCATCATGCAGCCACTGTGGGTCTTAAATTGAGATCCATATACACCAAACCTGATTTCAGTCATTTTTAGAAACAAGAATATACTACACAACATCAAATCTTTGGTGATTTGTGTTTTCAACTTACACCGTATACTTGCAAGCTTGATGCTAATATTTGGATAAACAGCATTTTGCAATGTGCTGAGAAATCTGTTCTTTTTGAAGCATCACAAAGCTTCTGGCATCATGCTAGTCATATTTTGACCATTCTTACAAAATAATAATACAAATCATAGCAGCTTGTTTGTTTTCTGACAAAATCCATTAAGAATTTCCTAAGTATTTGTCAAAAAGGACTGAAGTTAAGTCCATTCTAGAGGATTAATGCTAACCTATTGTATTAATTCAAGACCAGTTTTAAAGCATCACAAGATGAAATCAGAGTTTTACAAATGAACAATTAAAAATTCATTCATGTTTAATGATGTAGATTTTGGTGCAGATTTTATTTTTTGTTGGTAGTTGTTAAAATTTGGACAGATAAACAATGAGACAAAGATCCCTAAATCAACCTAGATTGGTCTTAAAAACAAAAACATTCTTAATATTATTTGCAATTTCCTAAGGTTAAGTAACCCAAATAAATGTGTGGATTGAACATTGTGTAAATTGGCAGAATTAAGGAAAAATTCAGCTATTTTATTTATTTTAATTGCTGAAAGGGTTAGTTGTGTTACCAAGCTTTGCTCAGTAAAGAACTAATATCAGGAAGAACTAATATCCACAAATCAAAATGGCGTTCACATTAATGATGACAGTGTGAAAACATTTTATTTACTGTAATAAAAACTAATTTGGTGCTCTGGTATGTACGATACAGTCAAAGGCTTGTTTTCCATGCACAGTTTCTCCTTTTTTATCTTACAGCCATACATATGGATTTTGTTTTTTTAATGAATTACAATTAAACTATCTTTTAAGCATTTTTTGTTTGTCTTGCAAATGAAAAAAAAATGAGTGCATGGGAAATCATTAGTCTATTTTATTAATATGTAAAACATACATTAGAGCTATTAAAACCACTAACAACATCTAAAGTCTTTTATTAGGATTCGAATAAACTATTAACTGCAATGAAAAGGTGAAGGTTGGGGCTGTTTGTGATGTTTTATTTCTTTTTTTAATGATTTAGTCCGTTCTGTTTTCGTTTCTTAATTTGTTTTAGATTTTATTTTAAATCCAATGTTTTCTTGTTTTGTTTCTTCAGTTTAAAAATTATTTTTAGATTTGTGTTTTCCATGTTTGGGAAATCCTTCGTTGCCATTGGTTATTAAACATGCCAATCAAATCTCTTGGCTCCGCCCAGTCCTCTTGACAGAGCGTTTGTTTTCATCCACCGTGTGCGCAGGTCGTCGAGGGAAGAGGTGGGCGTTTTTACACGGTCGCTTGCTGGGTGTTGATACTGAGAAGAATTTTTTCCGACGTCTCCTGCCAGCTTTACAGATGTTTCTCCCTACGCTCGTAGAGGACATGCATCACTTTAAGCCAAGCCGTGATAGACTGTACACCACCCGGTGCTGCGGGTGTTGCCATGTTCGAACCGGGACCATCATCCTGGGAACATGGTATATGGTGCGTAAGATGATTCTAGATAACGGTCAATACGACAGCGTTAGCCTGCGTCGTTCGCTTGTTAAGTTTGCATAATTGAGGAGTTACATAACCGTTACAGTTTATATTTGGTTATTGTTGGGCTATGATTGTTTTTCTTTCGTCCTGTTTTCTTAAAAGAATGCTAGGCTCCACGGCCGACCGTTAATAAATCTGGTTTATATCGAAGCGATGCTAACAGGATGCTAAGGTTAGCTATAGCTAGCTAACTTATTTGATGTGTCTCTTGGCTCCGTCAGCTCATGCAGTTTTAGAGAGGAAATTGACAAATTATGTCCTTTTCAGACTTTTTATAAAACTTCAAGTGTGAAAACTTTGAAATTGGAATCGATTAACTCACAATTTGGCTAACTTCTGCATAACGGTTGTCCGATGATAAGAATGCGCTGCCACACACACAAAAAAGACAGCTGTGCAGTGCAACATCTCTTGAGTTCCGCATTATTTATGTTTATGTACAAAACTAAAATGGAAAGTTTTCGCCATTAAAATAATGTTATCTGTTCACCTCTTGTTATTGTCCTCTATAGGAAACTTTTTGCTTGTTTTCATACATTTATTAGTTCATCCACAGTTTGGAAAGGTATATAATTTGCCTTTAGTATTTCCAGGGTCAATAAGTACATTAACAATAAAGTAGAATAAAGGAAAACTTTATTTATTTGAAGGATTCCTTCCCGATCCTAGTGTTGAACGGTTGCATTCTTGCACCTATCTGCCTAGTATTTGCCCATCATCTGTCAATTCCTTTCTTTATCTTTTAACCATCTTAATCTTCTACTTATACTATCATTTGTCCCTTCAAAAATACTTTTAAAACTGCCTTGGCCAACTATTGGACTGGAGGTTTTGTTTGCATATATATATATATATATATATATATATATATATATACACAGGTGCTGGTCATAAAATTAGAATATCATGAAAAAGTAGATTGATTTCAGTAATTCCATTTAAAAAGTGAAACTTGTATATTATATTCATACATTACATACAAACTCATATATTTCAGATGTTTATTTTGTTTAATTTTGATGATCACAAATGACAACAAATGAAAATCTCAAATTCATCATATCAGAAAATTAGAATATTGTGAAAAGGTTCAAAATTGATGGCCCCTGGTGCCACACTCTAATCAGCTAATTAACTCAAACCACCTGCAAAAGCCTTTAAATGGTCTTTCAGTCTAGTTCTATAGGCTACACAATCATGGGGAAGACTGCTGACTTGACAGTTGTCCAAAAGACGACCATTGACACCTTGCACAAGGAGGGCAAGACAAAAGGTCATCGCTAAAGAGGCTGGCTGTTCACAGAGCTCAGTGTCCAAGCACATTAATAGAGAGGCGAAGGGAAGGAAAAGATGTGGTCGAAAAAAGTGTACAAGCAAGAGAGATAACCGCACCCTGGAGAGGATTGTGAAACAAAACCCATTCAAAAATGTGGGGGAGATTCACAAAGAGTGGACTGCAGCTGGAGTGAGTTCTTCAAGAACCACCACACACAGACGTATGAAAGACATGGGTTTCTGCTGTCGCATTCCTTGTGTCAAGCCACTCTTGAACCACAGACAGCGTCAGAAGCGTCTTGCCTGGGCTAAAGAGAAACAGGACTGGACTGCTGGTGAGTGGTCCAAAGTCATGTTCTCTGATGAAAGTAAATTTTGCATTTCCTTTGGAAATCAAGGTCCCAGAGTCTGGAGGAAAAGAAGAGAGGCACTTCATCCACGTTGCTTGAAGTCCAGTGTAAAGTTTCCACAGTCAGTGATGGTTTGGGGTGCCATGTCATCTGCTGGTGTTGGTCCATTGTGTTTTCTGAGGTCCAGGGTCAACGCAGCCACATACCAGGAAGTTTTAGAGCACTTCATGCTTCCTGCAGCTGACCAACTTTTTGGAGATGCAGATTTCATTTTCCAACAGGACTTGGCACCTGCACACAGTGCCAAAGCTACCAGTACCTGGTTGAAGGACCATGGTATCCCTGTTCTTAATTGGCCAGCAAACTCACCTGACCTTAACCCCATAGAAAATCTATGGGGTATTGTGAAGAAGAAGATGCAATACACCAGACCCAACAATTCAGAAGAGCTAAAAGCCACTATTAGAGCAACCTGGGCTATCATAACACCTGAGCAGTGCCACAGACTGATCGACTCCATGCCACGCCGCATTGCTGCAGTAATACAGGCCAAAGGAGGCCCAACTAAATACTGAGTGCTGTACATGCTCATACTTTTCATGTTCATACTTTTCAGTTGGCCAACATTTCTATAAATCCTTTGTTTTTATTGGTCTTCAGTAATATTCTAATTTTCTGATATGATGAATTTGAGATTTTCATTTGTTGTCATTTGTAATCATCAAAATTAAACAAAATAAACATCTGAAATATATGAGTTTGTATGTAATGTATGAATTTAATATACAAGTTTCACTTTTTAAATGGAATTACTGAAATCAATCTACTTTTTCATGATATTCTAATTTTATGACCAGCACCTGTATGTATATATATATATATATATATATATCATATATATATCATATATATATTTTTTTTTTAGAGAGGAAATTTAACTTATCAGTACTTTTTTTCCTCTCCATACTTGGTCCGCATCTTAGACTTTATACAACTTTTAAAGGGAACTCAACTTTATCACTATTTAGGTTTAGTGCAACTCTGGTGTGATTCCCTGCTTACCTGTATACAGGTGGTTAACCTGTTGATGGGGATTCTGCTGACGGTGGCCGTGACGCACCCAGAGAATGTACCAACCATCGATTTGCAGTATGAGGTCATCGACCATTACTTTGCTTCCGATCGGATGTCTGGTAAGATGAAAAAAGAATAATTGTCTTACAAAATTTTTTTACTATAGATATTTAATGTCTTTTTGTGTAGAAATATCTGTAAACCCATAGTGAAAACAATACTGTTTAAATATGGGGTATGTTCCTTTGAATTTTTTAATGGAAAAAGCAAACTTTATTTATGAAACCTTTGCTGAAGCATAGAGCCATTAAGCAGATCAACCAAGTTTTTCTCAACTCTTTCCACTGAAGTGTAGAGCCAAGTCCCAAGTTAAGGCATGAAAATTCAGAGTCCTGCAAGTGACCAGTCAAGGTATTGCCCTAAGTGTTTGTCAGATAACCTGCTGGAAGTGAACTTGAATATCATCTGGAAATTAGCACCGGTGATTCTTTATACAGAAAATATAAACCAAAACAACCAAAACTGTATTTTCTAAAGTAGTTTTTGAAAAAGAAAATACAATTAACACCAAAAGACTGGATTTATAAACAAAATATAATTTAACCAAATGCAGTTGTTGAAACCTGCCTTTTAAGTGTGTACATGAACATCAAACATGCTGTTATCTTTTGTTAGGATGCTCTGAATCCATGTTGTTTTGAGTCAAAGGTCATAGATCTGTAGAACTAGTGGTTTTCCAGATTACATTATTGATTCGGGAACATAAAGGTTCTTAGTGTTATATAGCAAACTTTGGCTCCTTTATTGCTTCTAATTAATATTTTATTTTCAAAGTTTAAATTTCAGAAGGGAGTTTGACATTGTTGCCTCTCTTTTGTTTATTAGTCCATATCTTTTCCAAACTCTTTTTGGTTTTTGATCACCCTGTAGTGTGTACAAGCAAACAAACTTCTATGTAACAGTTCTGTATTGTGTTAAATATCGGGATCTGGAGAATTTACTTGAACAGGCTAAAAATGTCTGATAACTGACATTAAAAACATTAAGTCATTTTTCAAATTTCAATGGGTATGTGAAATCTGATTATCATGGAATCCAATAGTTAAACTTTATTAAAACAAAATAATTAAGACAAAAATTTTTTTTTCAAAGGAACCCATATGCAGAAAGAGAAAATATTGGATTGTAGTGTGAAGCCATGCATTGTTCCATCGATGGGGTCCCACTTTTTTCCTTTGAATTTTCCAAAAAATACAGGATAATTTTGTCCAGCTTTGCCTGAAAACCCTGTAAACTTTTTTTGGATTTTTTACATTTAAACATAGGAACAGTTTTCTTTTCTTATATATATTCTGAGTTTATTCTTACAGTAGCTTCAAATGATGAGCTCCAGTAGACTTTGTTTTTATTTTCCTAAGCTATAAGAAGTGTCAGACAGGCTCAGGCTGATGTACAGATTATTTTGCTCGAGCTAAAGATTAGCAAAAAGCTCATCCAGACTGCATTGCTGCAGCAGCTCTGGCACAAGCAGCCCCAGTGCAAGAGTTAACAAAGTGAAAGGATAAGTGATGAGAGAGAAGAGGATATGAAAGGTAGACCATTTAATTATCTCAGGTCGTTTCCTTCATATTAACTTAAACTGATGAACGCAATCGACATAATGCTCCCCGGAGCCTACCATTTAAAACTGAGAGATGGCCTTATCAGCGTATGCAAATCCCAGCTGCCTCTTTAGAGCAAAGGCAAATATGCATTTTGCCTCGACTTGTGACCTCTACTATGCATTAGAGCTATAGGGTTACCAGGACTTACCGACTGTATCTATTTCTCTTTTGCAGAAAATGCCTGTGTGGGTTTTGCCATCTCCCTGCTGATGCTCACCATCAGTGCCATGATGGTGTATGGAGCCATCACTGTAAGCTGGGGGTAGATTTTAAACTTTATTAAGGGTCATCAGGAGACAATGTAATTTTAAAATACACTAATGGAAGGTGTGTAGCTTCAGAGTGTTTAAAAAGTAGCATCATGTCTGAGAAATAAGATGCAATATAGCTTTTTAAACTGGAGTTAGAATGGGTTGTTATGATGGCTTGTACCACAGCATGCTTGTGTTTTCACTGCATGTTATGTTTACCTCACAGGCCAGCTTGATGGCAACAAGAGCGACAGGTTTGATAGCTTTGTCACATGAACCTTCATTAAACTGCTAGCTGTGACTGCACAGTTAAAGTATGACTCATGACGGCTCGCTGCGATCATGAGGCCTGTCTGTCTAAAGGTCACACTTCAGCTGTGCTCTGACAACTTTCCAATAAAGTGCATTAGAAACCCTTTTAGTTTAGAGTTGCATCCATATCCAGATTTAAAGATACGAGGACTATACAGTGGCTTGAAAAAGTATTCACACCCTTGAACTTTTCTACATTTTGTCACTGAACAACCACAAGCAATAGGTTTAAATGGATTTTATGTGAAAGCTGACAAAGTGGTATCACATTGTGAACAAGGTTATACACTATTTTTATCTAAAAAACTCAAATAGGAAAATAGGATTGTGCAGCCACCTTTTGCTTTAATTATAGTCCAAGTCTTTTAGGGCATGTCTCTATCTGCTTTGCTGGTCTAGTGACTGATTTTTTTCTGAATTGATTCTGCCATAGTCCCCACCTGTGCCAGTCACAGGTGGGGATGACTCAGAGTACGGGCAGTGGAGCCAGAACTTTGTGGTCTGGTGCCAGCAGAACCACCTTCTGATTAATGCAGGGAAAAACAAGGAGCTAGTGTTGGTCTTCCACAGAAGCAGGTCCTCCCCACTGACACCAGTGAACATCCAGGGAAGTCACATTGAGATAGTGGACTCTAAGTACCTACAGTAGGTGTTCACCTAAATGACAAACAAAAAAGTTAAACTATAATAAAACTGGACTGGACATGGGGGCTCTGTATAAGAAAGGTCAGAGCAGACTCTTCCTGCTGAGAAGATTGAGGTCTTTTGGAGTACAGGGGTCGCTTCTAAAGACCTCTGACTCTGAGGTGGCCTCAGCCATCTTCTATGGAGCTGTCTGTTGCAGTGGGTTATCTGTAGCTGAGAGAAAGCGGCTGGATAAGCTGATCAGGAAGGCTAACTAAATTAACATCCCTGTTGGATAATGTCTCCCACCCCATGCATGAAGCTGTTGCAGAACTGCAGAGCTCCTTCAGTGACAGACTGCTGCACCCTAAATGCACCAGGGAGCGTCATCACAGATCCTTCCTCCCAGCAGCTGTAAGACTTTATAACCACCACTGTTCCCAACAACCTTAATAAATTGTTACATTCATGCTGATTTTGCACATTTTTTTTTTTTATCTTAGTCAGTTAAATAACATGCTGCTGTCATTTTGCACATCTCTGATGTTGCTGCTATTTTCAAATTTCCATTTCTGTAGAAATTAGTTATTTTTCTATAATCTTTAGCTGCTGTAACACCAGAATTTCCCCATTGTGGAACAATAAAGAAAATTTCTATTCTAATCTTTTTACCATTCTTTGTTTAAACAGCTCAAGTTCAGTAAGATTAGATTCATGCTTGCTGTGTCTCCAACATGGCTTCTGGCAAACTGCAAACTGGACTTCGTGTTGGTTTGTAACATAAGATTCCAAAAAAATATATTTGCTTTTTGTTGTCAATTGAAAACCTGTGGAGAAGGTCAAGTGATATGAATATTTTTGTAAACCACTGTAATGTTAGTTTGAGTGATCTGGGGGGGGGGCTTCATTCCCAGCCCAAGTGTTATTAGTTTAAGTTTGGATTAAAACCCGACTTGCTTAGTCCATAAAGGAAGAACCACCAAGCTTGTTTTAATGGTATCTCTTCCAACATCATATAAACCTAACATGCATATACCTTTTGATATATTACCAATGATAAAGAAAAAAAAAAGGTTTGGGAATTGAATAGAATATACCTCTACATGTATTTGTTCATTGTAAGAATCAGATTATACAATGTGTTTAGAAGTTGGATGAAAATGAGCTCTGTGGTTCTTCTAATTCCTATAGTTTTCTGTCCAGATTTCTGCTGTATCTTTTTTTCTTTTAACTCTGTCCACCTTTCTTAGCACCGTGATGGATGGCTCATCCCATTTTTCTGCTACCAGCTGTTTGACTTTGCTCTGAGCTGCCTGGTGGCCATCAGTTCTCTCACTTACCTGCCTAGGATCCGGGACTACCTGGAGCAGCTGGTCAGTCCCAACGTTGTCCTCTGAATGTTGACTCTCTCAGTCCTCCTTATGTTAGCAACAGTGGATATTTCACTTAGTCCTAAGCAGGAACTTCTCATTGTTGTCAAGCAATTACAGTCTTTCTCTTGTAGTTTCATGAATAAAACACACAATTTTTATTCTTTAGATAATCCCTTTTGTCTGTAATTGTATGCTTATTTTATGCTAGCAACAATTGGTTTTCATACCCCTTGAATTCCTTCATGTTGTTGATGTCCTGTTGCACTATGAAACTGTCCCAGTTAAGTCCTTGACTGGTTTATCCATGTAACTTATCAACTTTGACCAGTCATTATTAAAGAAAAGCAATCTCATAGCATGGTAACGCCAGTCCTGTATTTTAGAATGAAGATGGAACAGTTCAAGTAGTTAAAAAAACTCTATACTTTTACTACATTAAATACGGAGAGTTAAGGGAAATAATTTCACTGGATTTTATTTAGGGTTGCCAATGTACATAAGGTTGAAAACAAATGTGTGCCACACTTTTAAGCCTTTGGGATAAACCTCATCAAATAAATTTCTGTTTTCTGAATATTTTTGCGATACATTGAGAGGGATGTTTAATGGGCAATAATTGCACAGTTATTGTTGGCCTTTAAATGGGTGGCAGTAAATGCAACAAACTATTAACATTCAATAGACAGTAATTACAAAGGCTGGCACTGCTGGCATCTTTAGTAGAAAGCTGTTTATGTAGTCAGGCCTTGGGTTCATTAAAATAATTATTCAAAGGCCTAGCACCCTTACACACAAACAGCATTCCTAAAGGAGGACGCTGTTAAAATGAACATTTATGGATGTAAAAATATATCAAATTTCTTTATCTACAAATTAGTAGCAGCTGCCTTTGACTACACAAGTCCGAGTAATGCTGGTTGGTGTTGCTGCTGAGTGTTACTTGGATAATTGTGTGAACTGAATTTATATTGCAAGACTTCACTGACTACAAAACACTGTTTGTTCTTTCTACTCAGCCGGATTTCCCTTATAAGGATTATCTGCTGTCCCTGAACTCAAGCTGCCTCCTCCTCTTTGTGCTGGTGTTCTTTGCCTTCCTGATCATTCTCAAGGTGATTCTAACAGTTAAAAAAAATAAAAATAAAAGCCCCTGTGCTCTTCTGTGAACAATAAGACCAGTTGGCATGTAAGCAACCCAGTGCCTATAAGTATTCCTCTGTATGCATTGCTTCCAGGCTTATTTGATCAACTGCGTGTGGAACTGCTACAAGTACATCAACAACAGAAACATGCCTGAGATTGCTGTGTACCCTGCTTTTGAGACCCCTCCTCAGGTCTGTATGAGTTCAAGTCAGAATAAATGAGCAGGAAGTGGTTTTCATGCTGATAACCTGGCATTTTCATCGGTGTAATATTTATTAAGCCAGCAGGTGGCCCACTATCCACATAGAGGAGGTCTGTCCTATTAAGAACAGTCTGAGTTGTCATGATGAAGGTTGTTGTCTGTTCTAAAAATGTTTGTTAGGTCATTTAATGATTATTTAACATCAGTGATAATTCAAATAAATTAATGCTTATGCTTTTTGCACTATGACAACTGTATTGTTTATGTGATATATAGTATATGGTTCATCAATATTTAGGAAAAAGGTTGTTTGTTTTTTAAACTAAATGATGCTCAAGTATTTAGAGTTTAAAGCTCAAAATAGGGCCAATTACATTTCAATTAAATTAAAACATTCTAAAATACTTAATTAATTCTAAATAAAGTTTCGGACAGTTGACATTTACAAAGGCAGGGTCCCATTCCACACATAATCAAAAATAAACTGCATGCTGTTCACTGCCCTCTGAGGGATGGGTTTAATGCACAGAACAACTGACCCATAACAGAAAAGGTGGTTTATTATTATTTAATCAGAATTCCAATCTTTTTAATTAACTGAGTCATATTTAAAATAATGCTTTAACAATTTGTTAGGACTAATACAGGTTAGGGTTATGGATAGTTTTTTTCTTGAATGATAGTTTTTTTTTTTTTTTTAGGCTTGAAGGAAATAAAAACAGCTGCAATGGTTTGAAAGTTATCAGTTAGTGTTTAGTCCATGTCCCTGAATACGATCAACTCTGTTTTATCATTAGATTTAAAAAGTCATCTTCTGCATTTTTTTGCATGTACCTAGCTATTAGAAAAAAGGTTTTCTTCTTTTACAGATATATATATATCAGGGCTGCAACTAATGGTTATTCTGCAAATTCTTTAATCTCTAGATAATTTTTTTCACTTAATAATCGGTTAGCCAAAAGTTCCTTAAAGAGGATTTCTTGCGAAATTAAATACAATTTATAATTTTTATTTTATTTTATTTTATGTAGGTACAGCTCTAAGTGCTTAGTTCTGTCAGATAAAGGCACATTTTACAGTCTATACTCCATTAAACGATTAATCGATTACTAAATTAGTTGACTATTTTTTTTCAATAATCACGATTAATCCAATTGTTTTAGCACTAATTTTGTTAATGGATTAAAAAAAGTTGATATATTTTATTTAAATTGGCATTCATTAAAGTTTCTCAAGCCAGTATTCTTTGATAATAAATATTTTAAATGTAAAACTTAATAAATGCAACTACCATCTTTCCTTTTCTTTTATAGTACATCCTGCCCACCTATGAGATGGCGATGAAGATGCCAGAGAAGGACCCTCCTCCCCCTTACATGCCAGTCTAAGCACCAGCCGTGTCACCAGGACACACACATGCGCCCCCAGCCATCATATGCATTCCTACATGCCCCGTCTAACCCATTCTGAACACCATGAAGCCCTTATTCCCCTCTGAACCTTCTGTGTCTGTGTGAGGTCTTTAAAGATATTTTCTTCAATCTCTCCGCTATATTTCTTTAGAGTGTTTATAGAGCATCCTGGAGATGTGATGGAAAAATGGTGGGAGAGTTATAACGCGTGATAATGGATGGATGAATGTGGAAGAACATTTGAAGGAACCCCTCTACCCTTGCTACCCTAGTCCCTCAAATCCTTTTTAAGTCTTAGTAAAAGGGATATGTGAAAAAAAATGCTTGAAATTTGCTCATAAATCCAGCACCATTTTATTAATAGATCAATATATAAGTACTGAAGAATTGTTGAACTATGACAATCTGCTTATTATAGTTCTTATTGTTTAGTTGTGTTGCAGTTTTCTGCTGTTTGTTAAGACCTAAAGTATTCCGCCTTTGCTTTGATTTGAGTCTTTCGCACTATTTTGTCTGTATTTATTTAGCTTTGCAGTGGTACGGTTCACAGTGTCCTCACCGCTTTGCTGCTGTGGTGTTTGAGCAAAGCTGCTGAGTTTTTGTTTTCCAGCTGGAAATGAAGGAGAGCAGAATTGGATCATTTCTCTGCCTCTTTCATCGCCTGACACGTGAAGATGAACAGCTAGCCTTGTGATCATTAGTTATTGCATGCTTATCAACGCCATCTTCCCATTACTTTGTTAGTAATGATTTTATCCCTGTGAAAAAGCAGTTGACTTAAATAAATGTGTCAGAACAATGAAAAGATCTTTTGATTTTGTTTCCCTCCTGTAACCATATGTCCTAAGTTTTTAATCTTTCTTGGTGTTGACTTTTCTATCTCTACAAACTCTTTACCTAGTCTTGCTGTCCACTCTAACAGATAAATGGGCTCTACTTTGTGTTGGCTGACCATATAAAGAACTCTCTGTAGTTCGGGAAGAGCAACTTTCTCTTTGAATTATTTGCAGTTCTTTTACATGTGAGTTTTTAGGTTAATTATTTAGAATTAAACATTTTTTTTTTAAATACATAATAAAATGGCTTTTAGAAATGCGCTGCCATGGAGTAATTATTAAAGATAAAATAATTTGGTTAATGCGGAATTGTCTATCATTTTCTAAGAGGTTTTAAAAAAAAAACAATATAATACTAATAAAAAAATATATATATAAATATATACAAGATTGAAAAACAGAAGAATAAGCAAATGTATCAGCCACATACTTACAAAAAAAAAAAAACTGCATTTCTAGACCCTCCTCTGCAAGTATACGTTCACCCAATCCTGCTAGTCCTTTCCTACCTTTGTATTGGTTGGATACAGCCAGACACGTGTCTCCTGAGATCTCATATTTGGAGGTGTGCATTCCCCCCTCCAGAACAGAGCAGGAGTATCCTGATAACCATTCCTGTGAGGGTACACCCAGATGTTACTCTGCTAAATAATCTAAAGATGAACCCTTTCATGTGGAGCCTTCTATATTTTGTTTTACTGCTGTTTTCTGAAGTTGCACATGCCACATACCACCTCAGAGCAGGAGATCCTCAGATGATAACTGCACAAAGTTACGCTCAGACCAGACAAAATGGTCAACCAATGTTCAGGACTCTGAATCCAGCAAGTAAGTTTGTTTAAGAATCTTTTCTTCTTTAAAAGATCTGCTTTTAGATTGTAGTTACATTTGTTATAAAACTTTATCATTTACTTTATGACACCTGTAACAAAGGAAAACGGGCTTCTGCTGTTCATTTCCTTTTTAATTTGAACCCAGCTTTAGCTTGTGTAAAACAAGCAATACTCACTTATAAGCAAATACATTTTTGTTGTAAGAAGTCATTTAAATAGTGTAAAACTATATAATTTGTTGACTTCAGTGTTTATGAAATACTTAAAGAAAATATTAGCCAAGCCATTTTTTAAAATTATTTAGTTCACTGGTGAATTAAGGCACCATTTCGCTATTGGCCAATTGGAGATTTGTGTTTTGTTTTACATTTTAGAAGCAATGTGTTACTTTAATTTGTATTCAATACACAAGGCTTTGAATGAAAATGTAATGTAAAGATTTAGAAGTATTTTGTACCATTTCTAATTTGATTTATAACATAGTGTGGATTATATTTAACATTTTTCAGTGTCTAAACAAACCAGAATTACAAAAAATTATTCCATAAATAGAAAAATGAAGCGATACCAACATTTTACCATCTCAGGGAGCACTCTTTGGTGCTTCATCCAAAAATAAAATATGGCACAACTAGAAGACGACAAAAAATGGGTTAGACAAGGAAAGCTTTATTCACAGAAAGTAACTAGTTTGAGAGAAGCTGCAGAGATCAACAGCTCAGGTGGGACAAGCTGTTGAAAGAACTAATAATTTCCTTGTCTGACATTTATGGGTGGAGAAAAAGCCATAAGAAGTCCTTCTGTCATGGATCTCTGATGAGTTTAGATTAACTTTTGGCCAACACACAAAAATGTCTTATGTAGCAAAAAAATGTATACAGTAAAATATGCTATAGGCAACAAAATGCTGCAGGGATGGAAATTCTTTACCAGGACAGTGAGGCTAGTTGAAATTCACGGGAGGATGGATGGTGCTAAATATAAAATAACTGAAGAAACTGGCAGAGGCTTATCTTCAGCTAAGAGTGGAGCCCTATACAGACGCCCAGAGCTGGATGCAACTGCATGCCATGTAAAAAAAAATATATATATATATTTTACCCCTTTATCATCACTACTAAGTCCTCCTTTTTTCTGACATATAAAGTGTTAATGAAATATAATTAGGCCTTTGGATCCATCTTGTAAAAAGGGGATACTTTTTATAAAACACTGTGTTAGGCTACTGTGGATGAATATTACAACATCAATTTAATGTTTAAACTGATGTTTTTTAAACTGTTATTAAATCTTTTGTGCATGTTGATCACATTTCTGACAGGAGGTTTTACAAGCAATTTATTATAAGATCACTGCTTGTTTGGAACACCTCCAGAGCCTTCCAGAGTTTTTCATATTTGCTTCCACTAATCATGTGTCTGTATTTCTTTCAAAAAACAACAACAAAAGAACGGATTGCTGTTCATTTAACCAGTGTTTACTAAAATATTAACTTACAAAACTTTGATTTTTGTCTTTTTTCCTACCTACTAATGTTCTGTATCACTTCTCATTTCTGGTGGGCCTGTAGATCACAGAAGTGATTACACGTATAGAGGAAGGTATCACTACCACTACCAGGCACCGAGGATCCCTCCACCGGTAGTGTATCGACCTGTTCCTCTATCTCCACCAGTGACTTACCACAGACCCCTGGTCCCCATGCTGCCTTATGGACACAGGTTCAATGTGCCAGCTCCACCACATTCACATCACATATACAAAGGTTTATCTCCACCAGTTGCTCAGCCGCATCCCCAGCACAGAATCAAAGGCCCATGGCCGTACAGACTGAAAACTTCATGCCCTACAAACCTGGTGACAGCGGCACCTGTTGTAGTCCGCCCAAATCTACCAGAATCTACAAAACAGCCCACCTTCCCTGCAACAGGAGTGGCTCCAGTGACATTCATCATGACCACTGCGTCGCCGGTGGAGACCCCTGCTCCCTGGACGCAACTGGTCAGTACCCAAAGCGGGCTCATCACCACCATCAGTCCTGTGGAGACAGGTAGAATATTACCGGGCAGGATTGCTTTCCAGGATTGCTTTCCAACCCGACTGAATCTCCTCCATATTTTCAAGGTCAGATGTACTTTTCCCCTTTGGTCATTCATAGAACGTGCACCTTCCCCTTAATGGTATGATCACACACTGAGTCAGTAATCAATTATCTCTCTTAAAAAGCAATGGGAATGTAAAAAATATAATTTTATTTTGATTTTACTTCTTATATTCTTCAATGTTTCATTAAATAATAAAAAAAAAATCCAAAATGCAGTTTTCACAATTAATATTTCATGTATTAATGGAAAAAATAAATCTATCTAAAACAATCTCATATTATATGACCTTCCAGAACTGGGCTACCTCCCAAAATCACCCCAAGACAGCATTAGAGTAGCCTTGTCAAAATCTGGGTTAAAATCCAATAAAATATTCTGCCTTGATCTTAAAAAGATTCTTCAGGCTAGAAGACCCTCCATTTAGGCTGAATGAAAACAATTCTGCAAATAAGAGTCCACCATGACTTAAAAGATTTACTGCCAGTCCACACAAATGATTACCACTTATCTGACTGAACAACAGATTTTACTGCAGAATTTACGTGAAGGTCAGGCAGGAATCCTAATACCCATGTCTAATGTTGCAATGTCAAGCATATCTTACTTAAATCAAAGTGATATGAATTGTTGTAACTCTGAAATGATGCACTGTATGTTGTTAAGCATACATGATCATTTTTGAACAACCAACAACGAGATGCACCATCTTTTCATCTAGTTCATCTGGGAACATGCTGGGCATCTCATTGTTTTCAGTTGTGGGCGATGCTCTTCATTACTAAAACCCACTTTTTTCTTCGATTATCAAATGGACTTATTTTTGCCATGATTTGGTTGATCACCAGAGACAGACTCCCCGTGCAGGAGCCGCCCCCTGGACCTGGTCTTCATCATTGACAGCTCTCGCAGCGTTCGTCCTGCAGAGTTTGAGAAGGTCAGAATCTTCCTGGCTAACATGGTGGACACCCTAGATGTGGGCTCAGATGCTACAAGGGTGGCTGTGGTGAACTATGCCAGCACAGTCAAGATAGAGTTTCTGCTCAAAGACCATTTCAACAAACTTGACCTGAAGAAAGCCATCGCCCGAATTGAGCCCTTGGCGACCGGTACGATGACTGGCCTGGCCATCAAGACAGCAATGAAAGAAGCCTTCACTGAGCAGTCTGGAGCCCGGTCTCGCTCCAGGAACATCGCCAAAGTTGCCATCATCGTAACTGATGGGAGACCTCAGGATCAGGTGGAAGGAGTGTCTGCTGAGGCCCGTGCCTCGGAAATAGAGATCTACGCTGTGGGCGTGGACCGTGCAGACATGCGCTCCCTACAACTGATGGCCAGTCTCCCTCTGGAGGAACACGTCTTCTACGTGGAAACCTATGGCGTTATTGAGAAGCTCACCTCCAAGTTCAGGGAAACCCTGTGCGGTAGGACAAAGAAGGGCCCTCTGGACCTTTCCCACCATTAACCACAGCTCTAGATCCTCCATCAGGGCACCTACAGTCTACAGGGGTGGTTGCTGCAGAATGTAAATAATTTACACAGGCATTTAATGACCTTTGAAATCATGAGGGAAACATGAAGCTGTAGATGCTGCCAAACCCCACATGGACTGCAGGTGTCGGCACTTAAACATGTTTGTTTAGGCATTAAATACAAGTAAAGTTTGGAGGCTGTTCAATCCTAAACTTTTGGCTTGACCTTTAAAATAATCCAACGAAAATTTTGAATCTATTTTTGCAGCCAAAGTGTTCTTAATCTATAGATTTTTATATTTTGTATTTAACTGTGGTGTAACGTAAAGCCTTATAGCGTGGAAAGTAGTGTTGCACTACTTACCGATACCGATAAGGCGAGTACCAACAAATAGGGCACCGATACCATTTTGAGAGCCAAAAGTTTATTCAACCATTGTCACCCATTGCAGGTAGGCAATAAAAAGTTCTACTGGATTCACTTTGTTAGTCTTTTTCCTGCTTCACAAAGGTAGGTAGCAGCTTGAAAAAGCCATGATGGCAATCATTTTACACCCAAGTAGTATGCAGTTCTTTATATATACACACCCACATCGATTTCAAACAGGTGGTGTCGGTATCGGCCAATACTGCACAGCCAGGTATCAAGTATTGGGGCCAAAAAATGTCATTGGCGCAACACTAGTGAAAAGATAAGAGCAGGGTTTTGCAACCTGTGGCTTCTAAGATCTTTCACTCTTTTTTTTTTTCTTGTTTGTTTTGAGTTTTTACGGCACTAGTGGCTTGTTTTTATGGACAGTAGGCTGACAGGAAAGGGGGCATGAGATAGGGGGAGAGACATGCGGCAAAGGACCACAGGCCGGATTCGAATTCTTTCACTCTCAATATCAAATTCATTGAGAATTTTTAAAATAAAGGGATAGAAATAAATGTTAGATTTGGCAGTTTTTCTTAGGCTCTAATGTAGTAAATATTTTGTCTTGCATTGTCTAAGAAATGTCAATATGATAAGGTATGTTGTTTTTTTTTACTTTTACAGTTTTTGGCTACTTTTTGACCTACATTTTTACCAAAACTGAGCATCTCAATAAGGTGAATGTAAATTTTTCATTTATAAGATTTTAAAGTTGTGTTTTTAATAAAAACACCAGAATACGTTCTTCAATTTAGTAATCAAAATAAATTCCCAAGACTTAATATTATAAAAACGATAAACTTGTTTCATGTAGCTCTTGTAGTTCAAAATGAATTTTTTCTTTTATGGACCAAGAGTGAAAATGGCTCTTAGGTTGTTAGATAGGTTGCTGAACCCTGGTCTGGAGTTTAAATTTGAGTCTGCATTAAAGGCACCAGTTGTTTAAACAGTTGAGACTCTGCTATGGAGATGATATGTGTTGACTCGGTGTTACTATTTGTCCTGCGTCTGTCTTTCAGGTAGCATGTCTGTTCTGTCAGTGTTTCTGTGATTTTAACTGTTGTCTAACACACATCAGGTTTCATTGGGTGAAATGTGGTACAAATAATCTACAAATTCAAGCAACACCTAACTAATCTCAGCACAAGACACTTGAAACATTGTTGACCATCTCTTAAAAATCTATTTATAGTTCCAACCTTTAATTTGGGCTTATTCTAGGTGTGGACCCCTGTGCCATGGGACATGACTGTGAGCACATCTGCATCAACAGCAACGCCTCCTATTACTGCAAGTGCCGGAACGGTTATGTATTGAATGCAGACAAGAGAACGTGTTCCCTGAAACGTAAGAACAAACTGCATGAATTTAACCAGCCTTCCTTTATCATGAGTAATTCTGATGATATTACTGCTGCTCACAAGCTTATAGAGCCCATGGCTTCACACATCCCAACCAACTCCTAGTTATAATGCCATGCAAAAAGATTAAAAATCCTTGATCTGTCATCATTTTATGTCGCAACGGCAAACTTTAATGTTTTCATTTGAATTTTTATTTTGTTTTTGATAGACCAAAAAAAAAGTTTTAAAAGGTGGACTTAAATCTTTAACAGTTTTTGTTGGACAATAGTCGAGTAAACAGTAGATTTACTCAAAATCTCTCTTTCCTTCTAATTTTAGGTCATAGTAAAAAAAAAAAACATCAAAGGTGGTACTTTCTGTGCTCTATCGCTGTAACACTGATGTGAAATCTCTTCTCTCCAGGTGAAGAGGTGAGAGCAGAGGTGGTGGAGGATCCCTGCAAATGTGAAGCCAGGTTGGCTTTCCAAAAGCAGACGCAGGCAGCCATCCAGCAACTGACAGACAAGCATATCCTTCCTGTTGTTCCGCATGGCAGACTGTACTCTAAACAGTCTGCTGCAGGTTTATTATAAACTGACCTGCAAGTCCTGTAGCTGAGATGTATTTTATTGTCTTTTTCTTCTTCCCTTAACTGGTCAAACTAGCTGACATATCAGGGAGGATAGAGCATCTGGAGAACATGTTGGGTCGTGCATGAACTTATACACACTGGTAATAGTGACAACCTTCCTTCTTCTAAATATTGATGAAGGTCATCCATGCTGTATTTATCTTAAACTTCTATTTCCTTGTTTTTTGCAGAGGGAACTTCATTCATGCGCATGAGCTTCCTGCCATCTGCAACCTCCTCTCACCAGATTTCTTCCAGGCCGCCCAAAGCTGTGACTCACATTTCAATGATTTGTAGAACACACTTAAAACATCCCATCCGGTGTTTAAATCTATTTTTTATTAAACTAATGCATTAACTAATAAACTAATGCATTTTCTGACCATTGTTTAATGTGATTATTACTTTTTGCATTAACAAAAAAATGTATATAGTAAATTTTATTGTGGCACAGTAAATAAATAAATCTGAATGAATTTATTTAGTAACATCGTAAGAAAAGGTGTCAATTATGTGTCAATTTAGACTTACATGTTAAAAATAATGACACATTTTGTGCTTTATATATGTTTATGAGGGAATATGTTTGCCAAAATGTATGTGGAAATGTAACAGACATATAATAAACATAGTAAAAAGTATTTTTTTTATTTTATCATTATTTACAAAGTACCTAAGAGCTTTAAGAGCAATTATAATATGTTAAATGTATATATGTATATATTTGAGATTTTTTTTTTCATTTGATTTAACCTCTGTCATAAACAATGTGTTATATTTTTACATATAAACCTGGAGTTTTCCAATGCTGCCAGGTACTTTATGCAAAATAACCAGTTTAAGAAATAAAAAATGTTAAAAACAACAACAAAAACAAGGAAGTTCAAGGTAAAACTTTGCCTTTTAAAAGTTTACAGGCGCTTATCATAAGTATGCATTTGAAGCTGTTACTTTTGGGCTGCAAAGATCATGAAACAAACATCAGTGAGGGAATTTTATTTAAAGAAGGCTTCAATGCTTTTCTTTGCATGATTTTATTGCTACTTAGTGCTAAACATTTAAGTAAGGCTCTTTCATGCATGCAGGTCCATAAATATTTTCATCGTTGGTTCATTGCTCCTTAGTAAACTATAGCTTTGACCAAATATGTTTGGGTGGAGTAAAGCCATCGGCCGGCATGTTGGTACTCCCTAGTTAAACCGGGCCTAATGAAAACAATACGTGCGCTAAAGCATCAAACAACGATCATGTTCTCATTTTCAGGGGTATTTAAGATTTTTGAAATAAAGATAAATTCATCACTTGGACACACATTTGCTGTTTCATAGCATCAGTAGATTAATTTGTGATATAAAAAAAGCACATCACATTGCAAAGTCAATGTGAAGTCCATCAAGTCTATAAATAATGTAATATGAGATATCATAAAAATCCATCACAACAAAATGAATGTGTTAATGGAGCATAATAGAGCTGCTCAGTGGCACAGTGGGTTGCACTGCCATCTTGCAGCAAGAAGGTTCCAGGTTCGATGCTCTTCCTGGGGTTTATCTGCATAGAGTTTTGATGTTTTTCCTGAGCATGTGTGAATTCTCTCTGAGTACTCCGGCTTCCTCCCACATTCCAAAAACATGACTTGATTGATTGGCTTCTCTAAATTCTCCTTAGGTGTGAGTGAATGGTTGTTTGTCTCTGTGTTGCCCAGCGATGGACTGGCGACCTGTCCAGGGTGTACACCGCCTCTTGCCCATAGACAGCTGGAGATAGGTAACAGCACCCCTCGCAACCCCGCTTGGGATAAGTGATGGAAAATGGATGGATGGAACATAATAATACAGATGTGCCAAAAGTGCTGAATTGATGATGTACATGTAATAGACATATACTGATTACATTATTATGGTGATTACATATTACATTTCAAGACTGAATTACAAGTAAGTATGTCTGTTAATGTTATAGTATTTTCTTATTTGTATGTTGTGCATGCATGATGCCATATACTTGTATGCTGTGCATTAGCCTTTTAAAATGTTTGATTTGCTTTTTTTTCATCAATATAACATGCAATATATTTCAGCACTTTTTCAAATGAGAAATGCAATAAACTCTACAAAAATGACAGCTTCATCCACTCAATAAAGAATTACCACACTGACATTTCACAGTGAATTATTTTCTATTTACTTTCTAATTTCTAAAGTTAGACACAATGTCGATGGCTAACTCAGTCAAGATCTTTGAGTCAGTCCGAGATACCCAAACTAATGTTGTGCTATATACTATACTATACTATACTATACTATACTATACTATACTATACTATACTATACTATACTATACTATACTATACTATACTATACTATACTATACTATACTATACTATACTATACTATACTATACTATACTATACTATAGGATACAACAGCGTATATATGTATTTTCTTGGTTAGTACATCCGATGACAGCTGGCAAACTGCTTGTTTTTGCAGCAAAATGCTACACACATGGGCATTTTTATGGCGCCATATTGGAGTACCAATATGGCAGCCAGTAGCTTTAATTTTTTCGGGCTGTCAGCAATCCAGTGGACAAATAGAGATCAGTCGGTTGAGTTTACAGATACTCCAGAACCTTATATTTGACCTGTACTCGTGTGGTTAGAACCACTGGGCTCCAGTACGAATGGTAGCTACACAGCCCCACAGCATGCTGCCACCATCCCTATGCTTGACAGCTGGTGAACAGAATTTGTTTTCTTTCTCTTTGGGGTAGCTCAGTCTTCCTCTCATGTAATCACAAAGGTTTCATTTCCATAAACCTTCCCATAAGGGCAGCTGCAAATTTAAGATGAGTTGATGACCAGCACCAACGTGTGATGTTAAACTTGCTTCCCTGTGGATGGTGATGATGGTGTCCCAGCATCGTCACGATCATGCGAAACTTAAGCCTTTAGTGGTTTCTTGGGTTTGGATTGTACTCTGGAAAACCAAGAAAGTCTAATGTTACCTGATCCTAAAAGTTTAATAAATTTTTCCCCCTGCATATGGGGGTGCGAAATCCTGCATAGAGCCTGATTTACACAGCTAAAAAGGAACTTTAATAGACTTTATCTTGACCAAAAGATTAAATACCTTTAGTATTTTTGACCCAGATGTCTGATTTGCATCAGTCTACCTTCGATTGCCACAATCAAAGCATTTAACACTTCATTATCTAGCAGATTACTATGGTGTGTATTATGTGCAGTTGTATTAATTATGTAGTGATTCCACAGAAAAGTTTACATGCATTTATCATAAGCTTAATTGTTTTCTTGATTTTCTACTTAGGGTGCTACAATGATAATTTTACAACAAAGTATTCAAAGATTTTGTGATGGTCCGAGCAGTCAAAGGAAATTCAGGCACAGGTTTAGATTCAAAAATGTATTTTTTTTTATTGAACCCAAAACAAAGAACTTGGGTCAATAAAGAACAAATTACAAAGTTGGGCCCATAAAAGAGGTCAAAGTAACAGAATTCAACTCAGGCTAACAAAAAGACCTACTAAAACAAACAGACCTACTGCATGAGACAAAGGGGAAACTTAAATACTGGCTAATCAGGCTACATAAAAGATACAAAGGGGGAAACACACAAAAACCTAACTGAAACTAACAGAGGAAAATCCCACTTCCCCCCTCTTGCTGATGAGTAATGGTGTAAACCAATTTGCAGTTTCAATAGGCTGGCTCGACCCCTTCTCCACCTCTGTTCTCCTGCAGGACTGGAGCAGCCGGCACTGAGGTGACTCAAAAACAAACAAAGATTAAATCAAGCAGAACATAACAGTGTGAACTAAAATATGCACACTTATTCCAGAATACAGTGTTATGCCTTTCCTTACAAAAATGATTCTGTAAATTAAATCCTAAATTTAAAGATCTCGAAGTCTCGAAGGTTCTGAGTTGAAGTCCCACACATTTCCACGGACTGCCCTGAGCAAAGCCCTCATCCCCAGACTGCTCTCTGGGCGCCGCACAATGGCAGCCCACTGCTCCCCAAGGCGATGGGCTAAATGCAGAGAGTTAATTTAGTTGCACTGTACTTGTGACAGTGTAATGAAAAGAAAAAAAAAATTCAGAGATAATTCTGGTTAAATATTTGACTGCTCCTCTTAGCTAAATTTGTTGCTTTTGTGATTTTGATAAATTTTTTAAAACACTGATTACAAATTGTCATCACAGAAAAACAGATGAATCTTCCAGGAGATTACCTTTTTCCTGTCTGGAAAAAATTCTAATGTGTGTCTTTGATCTTTATTCAGTTAGATTAACCAAATTTTACCAATTTTTAACCACCTAATTGCTGATTTAAGGAAAAGGATGAAGTGATTTGGAAGCAGTCCTCTCATTATTTATTTCACTTTAATGGTTGACATGGTACTGTATCCATAGTAGAAAAACAAACCCACTGCATGATTTTTACCCCACCAAACATTTTTTTTCAGTAGGCCTACACAGTTTTTTATTTTTTATTTTTTTTACATTTTTTCTTGAAGGTAGCAACAGATTTTACTCAGTGTTGAGTTTTGATGCAGCCACTTCCTTTTTAGTTGGCATCTTTATAATCAATCCATGGTCATGTTCAACTTGTCACAATTTATTGGCTAGAAAGGCACACATTTGTCCCTTTATGGTCTGATAAATTCCTTGCTAAATAACCAGAATATAAAACAGATTATACATACAAGTATTTTTTTTTATCAAAGAAAAAAAGGTTGATCATCAAAATCTGTTCATTTTATCTCAACAGATTTTCTGTTTTTCTTGAGAACATACATTAAACTATATATAAATCACAGGGGGAAAAAAAGAAAAATTATTCCTCAATATCTATGGGAATGTTGAAAATATACTCTTGACCAACTGATTCCAAGTTGGAAAGTTTATAGCATGTTTTTATACTCAATCTATTTGCAGTGAAACAACTAACAGCTGCTCTAAGCTTACCAATGAAGGGCAAGAAGCCTTCCATATTATGTGTGTTTTTGTCAAAGAAAGAGACATATGGTAGTGGAAAATATCTGGAACCAAATGGTTGGAAAAACATGCATCTATGGAAGGAATGAAGTATAACATTACTCTGAGATAACAGTAAATCTTCATGTATTGTTTGTATGGAAAAATAGGATAGTAGGACTCTGACATTTCTGTTACTAATGTGTCAAAGTTTGCTCTGATATCTGAGGTCAGGAGATATTTTATCCTAAATGTTAATGCATTTGATTCAGAAACTAACTTTAATATAAAAATTATAATATAAATGGATAGTGGGATCTGTTTGTTCACCTTGTTGATAATTTATATATTTCATGATTGTCTGCTGTCAGAGAAACAACTGCAACAGGTCAGCGCTGGAATGTTCCAGCAACAGCCCAGTGGACAGAGCGTCTCTTGTCTGCGGTGTCTGTAAGAGTCAACAGTCCAACGTTTACACTCTCATCTGGTTTGGGTCCTCTTCCTTCTTTGAGCAGACAGCTGCTTTATGTTTGTTGACTGTTTTGCTTCATGGTTACCATACACACCCACAGAGGCTGTTAAAAAGGGGACTGTTTCAAGGAAAAAGATGAATGGAACTCACAGATGTCTGCGAAGTGAAAAAGATGCACAGAGCTTTGCTTTGTTGAAGGTGTAACCTAAGCTGAGGGTCAAACCGAATCTTCAGCAGGTGGTAGATTTTAATGGTACATCTTCTTTTGTAATTTGGCACAATTCCTGATTTTTAAAAGAAAAAAAAGTAACTTTGATTAGTTATCTATGTACAAACTCTTTTCAATCTTTTCTTTTCAATAAATCCCGTCTCTTTTTCACGCTTTTATTTTTGAGCTTACAGAGCATTTCTTTCTCCTGTTTATTGTTGGTCCAGACTTACCCACTTTGGCGTAAACTTACCCAAACACAGGGCAGGGCTCTGATTTTCAAAAGTTACAAACTGAAGAAGTGCAGCAGTAGCCAACAGGACTGAGTTCATGAATGAAAACATCTTAAAGATTTGCATAAAATATTTTGATAATAATCTGTTCGCTCACCTTTCTGGTTTACAATACAATCTGTAATAAAAGTAGGCACATGAGGCATATCCAGAGTCAAAGACATGCATGCTTTGAGAACAAGTTGATAAAATAATGTTGAAATTTTCATAATTTTGCAGAAAGAGAAATTGCAAAACTTACTGGAGTTTAACGTAAAAGTGAATTTTGTAGTAGAGTAAAGATACCCCCATTCATGTTGTATGTGTTTTGATAAACCTCTGCAGTGAAGTGTTAGAAGTGTTAACTCAACTAATCCAGTAAGAGATTAGTAGGAGAGTTTAAAGCCCAACAGTATAGAGTGAGGAAGACCTATCTGGTATGAAAGCGGATGAATGAAAGATGAATGCCACTCCAAAGTAGATTTGACCACGTTTGCATTAACTCTCTCAGCCAACAGCAACATATCGGTAATTGAATTGAACTGAATCTGATTCTGTTCAATTCAATTCAGTTTCTTTATATAGCGCCATTTCACAACACGTGTCATCTCAAGGCACTTTACAGAAAGAATTCAATCAGATCATACAGTCAGATTGGTTCAAATATTTCTATCTTAGGAATAATGAGTTGAAGTCATTCCATTATTATGATCCATAAACTTATTTAAACATATTTTATTTCCATTTTACAGCAGTTGGTTTGTGACCCTTTGCTCTCTGTCTGCATGCTCTTTTTGATCTGCATTAATTCATCCACACAGTCTGGAGAAAAATTAGCTGTTTAGAAAAGTAGGCACATGCAGAGTGGTCCCTTGCTCCATGAATTATAGTTTTTCATCAAGACAGGCAACTTATTTTCTGAGGAACTGACTGAGAGTTTCTTCCTATTTTTCAATGTCTCCTTGTTGTTAATCACATCACAGGTTTTACCCTGAATTGTTGTTAATTAAACGGTAATATCTGGACTAAAATATATATATGTCTATTTTTACTTATCAAAGATTCTAAGCTTACTTCTAAATTGTAAATCCTCTAATCAGTCTGAGAAGAAATAAAAATGTGCTGCTCAGAAGAATTTGTCTCTTCTAGGGTGAAAGATTTACAAATGCTCCTGGGGTTCACAGTATTGTGTTTTGGTGAAATAAGAATCAAGTCTGCCCTCTGCTGTCACAACTCAATTTATTTTAGGATTCCAACAAAGGGTGTATTTTGGTTTAATTTATCCAATATGATGGTAATGTGAAAAATATTTAATTCTAAGACAACAATCAAAATATATATATTTATTTTATAAAAAAGTAAAACAACAAATAGGGTGAGTTCGAAGCTTTAAATAAGATACTTTTATTATTGCAAAACATTAACACTATTCCTTGTAAACCATTAATATCTTATAACTATAATTAGTTTTTAAAACTAGATTAAAAAAAACATTTCACTATTTCATTATATAAAGATGAAAGCAGTTTTTTATATTTTATGAAGTCCTTAGTGTTGACCCACCTGAGGAACAATACAGGCCGCTTGCTGGACCCCCTGCAGTTTGTCTTCATGGCTAACAGGTCAGTGGATGAAGCAGTCAACTTGGTATCATATTACATCCATCATCACCTCAATGCTCCAGATGCTTCTGTTTGTTTAAACATTATTCTCAGCACCTAACCTCCACCTGTAAAGTGATTACAAATTTCCTGACTGCATCCTTTGCTCAATGCACTGATCCTCTATCGTCTTAATCTGCCCATTTTGTTTACAGTATACATTCGGTATTCTGTTACCCATGTTGATTTAATTTACCGTAGTGTTATTGAATAAGCAAACACATTGTTAGTATTGTACTATCAAGGGACAACAGTGGCGTCGGATGTAGCCTCACTCCTCTCAGTGAGCCACAGGGCTGCTGTGGCTACAATTTAGTTTGCAACCATCAGAGTGTGAATCTGTACGTGAATGGGTGAATGACTGAATTTCATGTAAGTCCTCCATATAAGTACAGGCCATTTACCATTTATCCAAAGCCAAATGGCAGGTATTTTTACACATATCTGGCAAAATAAAGTTGATTCTGAGCTCTTCTTCTTAAGTCGAGGAGTAACAGGTAAACTCTAAGCTTTAAAAGCAGCAGCCTACCTGTTGCCCAATGGATCAGTGGGGATTGTACTGAAAGGTAGTTTGATAAAAAAAAAAAAAAAAAAAAAAAACAGAACTGAGGAGGCCTAAACACAAATGCAATAAAAAATTTGTTTTTTCAAATTAAATGTCGAAAAAAATGTTGCTATTATTATTGTTGTTATTATTATTATTATTATAACATACAAGCAATATTTTTCCATCAACGATGTTAGCTAATTTTTTATTTTTCCTTACAAGCTTCGTGTTTTTTTTTTGTTTTTTTGACGCACAAAAGTTTGATTGGACCGTCTGGCTATGACGTCACATCCGCAACAACCTTTACTCCTGTGCGGCTGCTATGGAGGGCGAAAATTCCCAGTTATTAGAAAATGCGCACTCAGAGTTCAACAAACGCAACTTTAACCAAGCGGAAGAGCTGTATACAAAGTTTATCTCTTCCTGTTTACAGTCCAGGTACTGTCCCATCTCGTAGAGATGTTAATCAAGCTAACGATCGCTGTTATTAAAAACGTAGTGTTTTGTAACATTTTCCTACCTTTAGTATTTAGAAATGGGAGTTTTATTTACCGAAAACCAATTTATTTTATTTACTCTCTCCACGGGTCTAATAATAAAGCTATAAAGAGTTGTAACTCTGTTTTATCTGTACAGGAAATGTGAAGCTAACAAATTAGCCACCGCTTATAACAACCGTGGACAGATAAAGTACTTCCGGGTGGATTTTTATGAAGCTATGGAGGACTACACCTCTGCTATAAAGACTGACTGCCAGTTTCCAGTTCCTTTCTACAACAGAGGACTCATCCGATATAGATTAGGTAAAAATTACCAACTCTGATAACGAGTAAACAATAACTTATCTGATATAATCTAAAACATGCTAAAGAGAGTCACCTTCTTCCGCTCTCTGACCCTTCAAAATAAAACATTCTGGCTTAAAAAAATCCACCATGTACATTTTTGTCTCTTGAAGAACTCATTAAAACATCAGCACTAATTATAAGTGATGATTTGTTCATGTCAGTAATTCAGTTACAGAAGTGAAACTTGGAATTGTAATGGATATTGTAGTTATTGTAGTTCTATTCTAGTTATTCTAATTTAGATGTGTATGCTTAACAGCTAATGAAAATCCTTAATCTTTTTTATTTTTATTTTTTATTAAAACCATAATATTACATTCCATCACTAAGAAGGATGATTGATAATTGATCAATGTGGAGGCAAGTATTCTGTGGCTCTAGCAATGTACATTCTGCAACGCTTCTAGATTGTGCAGAGTAATGTCTCACCTTCCTCTTGATAATCCTCCATAGTTTCTCTAGGGCTTAGGTCAGGCATGTTTTAGTGGCCAGTCAAAGAACTAATACAACAGTGATTGAAGCTAGTGTTTATATTTTTGCATTGTAGACATGTTTAAGTCCTGCTTGAAAATAAAACCAGTTTTTTCATAAAGCTTGTCAGTGTAGGCGAGCAAGAGGTGAAATAAAAACTCACTGTAGACAACTCGCCTATAAGTGAAGTTATCTGTCCTGTTGTTTTTTTTTAAGGTTGTAGTCCTGGATTTGACTAGCATCATGCATATGATCTTTCTACAGCATAATGATGTCTGGAATGCTAAAGGATGTCTGAATACTACACGGCAGTCAAGAGGCTAATTTCTTACCCACTTTAGAGGTCATATTGATGACATCATGAAAGCTGAAGAAACAGGAGCTAAGGGCCTACAGGTTCATGATTTTGTATGCAGTCCAAGTTGCACCACTGAGCAACAATCCATTATTTTTCTCCTTAGCTGGGATCCATTATCTCTGGCTCAGGAGAGGCCTTACTCTGTTGCAATGGTCAAGGAATACAAGTGTTGTTGTCCATATCTTGGATCCTCTTGATATATATATGGTATAAGGATGCACTTTCTTTGCATTAATTTTTTTATGAATATACCTAGATACAGCATTATGTGAACACCAATTTTCCTAAACCATTCCTATATAAGTTTGGAGTTTATAAACAACATGCAATTTAAATATGAAAAAAATATATATTGAAAAATAAAAAAACAAATAAAAATACAGATTTAAATAAAAAAAGCAGTAGGAATATATAGTTTATACAACCATCTTATTTATGTGTCAAAGGCTTTGAACAGTTTCACCATTTAATACTTTAATGAGTATAAAATAAAACTGACCATATGGTGACTTGCTGTATAATTTTAATGGGCACTAGATGGAGCTGTGTGTTTATAGTCAAGATTTTATCTGGCGCTGGAGTGCCTCAGAATTTGGCAAATGCATTAGAAATCCTAGCCTTGAGCTTATTACACACTATAACTCTCTTTATGTTTCTTCCAGGCTTTTTTGAAGATGCTGAAAGGGACTTCCAGCAAGTGCTCAAGCTCAATCCAGATTTTGAAGATGCAAGAGTGAGCCTGCAGCAGACACTTCTGGACCAACAGAAGAAGATAAACAGAGGATACTGATGATTTTACTCAAGCATCTTTGTATAAACTCTTGAAAACCAGGTTTATCTGATACGTAATGACTGTCTTTGCAGATGCTGGAGAACATTTGGACAGACTGTGTAGCTGTTTCATGCAGATACACAATCTGCAGTTCCACATTGAACATTTCAAATGTTTAAAAAATGAATTTTTAATTGAAAAACAAGGTTGTCGTTTTTTCAGACTATCCTCTTCTGCATATACTTAATTTATTATTTATTTCATCAACATTTTTGTTATGAGGCTTGCTTTCTGTACATTTTATTAAAGAAAGACAGACAAAGATGCCTTTATTTTGATACAAATACACAGCCAGTTCAAACAATATATGAACAGAAACTGTTTTACTAAAAAACTGACCCACAGTCAGTCACAGGATATGTGTGATCCTAGACTCTATAGTCCCCTTTTTTACATAAATCATCAGTATTAAAGGCTCCAAAATTTGTATAACTCGGGTAATAGGAATCCGGGGTGATTATTTTCACTGCTTCTAGTTTCATGTAAAAAGGAAATTGTTATTTTCTACATCTGTTGCTAAGCAGTCGGGATTGTTGAAGAGTCAAGCTAATCCAAACAGCTATGCTTGATTATATAGAAAATTTTATATGACACTACAAATTCATCTAAGGTTAACTGCAACTTTTTATAATTGTGATCAAAGTGGATTGTATGCACTCTACTGGATCAAAAAAATATGCTTTATTAGATGTTGATTAGATTTGAATTGATATGAGAAGATGTATTTCTGTTTAAGTAATTTTTAATTGAAATTTGTTGTGTGTTAGGATATCAGTGTTGTGATTTGGAATTGCATTAATAAACTATTAAAACATGTTTCAGAATGATAAAAAAGGTTTTTGGATTTTCTATGTTTAAAACAATCTTTTATCTGTATCTGACAAAATATATTTTCACAATTTTTTAAGTTCTATAAACACTGATATGTGATTTAAAAAAAGACATATTCCACAGAAAAATAGTAAAGTCGTTCTCCCAATTATTTTAGCTGTAATAAAAGGAATCCAGGTGTATCTTGTGGCAATCTATTATGGCCTTTATCATTCACAAATTAACGTTGAATTAATCCAGAGGCTGGAGATCAAATAGTGAAGATAAGAGATTAGGTTAAATAAGAACTTTGCACCATACATTAAATGCATACAGGATAACTGCTGCTATTGTCGTCTATAATTCTCTTCTTGACGACTTAAAATTGAAGCTAAGTTTTATAAAAATTCAAAGTTCTTAAAAAGCAGAAAAAGTCTCAAACAAAGATCAAAAAAATTTAGGCAGAGGCAGCTGAGTCCAGGTCCAGTGTGTTTATTGCTAAACACAACACATTCACACTGAGCTGGTCACCGGTGAGCATCAGCTGAACAAATGGTGAAGACAGCTCCCCTTTATACATTTCTTATCGGTGGAAAACCCCCTTCAGAACATATTTCAGTCTTTGGTAAAGGTCACATTGATATTTATCTGCAAATCACAGTGACATTCATAGACACATCTCATTCTTGTGAGAGCAATCTCTCAGGCCATGAAAACATCTGGTGCATTCAAATCAGAAACTTATGACAGTTTAATCACAAACATGTTGGAATACATCCTTTTCCTTACTTCAAGCCATGTCAGTCTGGCCTAGTGCTCCCCCCTCGTGTCTCAGTCAAAGCATCACCCTTTCTGGGACCATTACCGCTCCGTGTGCCTTGAAAATAACAACTCTATTTATCACAAGTTGTATGGCCAAATTTTGCTGAGCTGGGCAACCTTGATATGTCAAATATTTCATTTTTAATGAGTGTGCTTTCTTATCACTAAGGGGCCTCAACCCTGCGTTTTCCTGCAGATTCCCCTCCTCCTGGGCCAGGTGCAATGGTTACACACTCATTGCTCTGTTTTTCTCCTTTTGGCCTTGAATGGCTCCATTCATTGCTCTGTTCTCCTTTTGGCCTTGAATGGCTCTTATAACAGTATTTGTGAAAACAACTTTAAACTTATAAAACATTAACTTTATTTTATCTTATGATTAGTGCAGATTAATACACAACACTATCCACTGCATGAGGCATCAAAAACAACAAATATATTAGATGCTTTGCAGCAATAAAGGACTGCTTTAGCTAAATTTGTCTAGATTTCAGAGGAAAGCCCAAATGCATAGACTTTAAGAAAATCTGACATATAATCGATTAGACACATCCATATGAGGTGCCCCCAGGGACATAAATCAGAATTAACTTGCATATACACATATTAAATTACACTCTTCCATATAATATACTGAAAACCTCACACAAACACTAGTAAAAAGCTCTCACATAAACTAGTGAAAACATTTACCTCTTATATAATCTACTCAAAAGCTCTCATACAAAGTAGTGAGAACTGTTCATATAAACTGGTGAAAAGCTTTACCTTTCATACACACTACTAGAAAGCTTTCATATACACTACTAGAACACTCTCATATACACTATTAGAAAGCTCTCATATACACTATTAGAAAGCTCTCATATACACTATTAGAAAGCTCTCATATGCACTACTAGAAAGCTCTCATATACACTATTAGAACGCTCTCATATACGCTATTAGAACGCTCTCATATACACTATTAGAACGCTCTCATATACACTACTAGAAAGCTCTCATATACACTATTAGAACGCTCTCATATACGCTATTAGAACGCTCTCATATACGCTATTAGAACGCTCTCATATACACTATTAGAACGCTCTCATATACACTATTAGAAAGCTCTCATATACACTACTAGAAAGCTCTCATATACACTATTAGAACGCTCTCATATACGCTATTAGAACGCTCTCATATACACTATTAGAACGCTCTCATATACACTATTAGAACGCTCTCATACACTCTATTAGAAAGCTAAAATATATGGTCCCCCTCCTTTAATTTAGGCAAACATTGCTCAAATATCACCGAATCCAGATGGTTTGTTGTTGATGAAGAGAGGAATAAACACAGTTTAAGATTTGCAGCTAAATTAATTTGTTTCCATATTATGGAACTGCTATCAGGCACTTCCCATCATCTTATATCAGTAATAAAAAATTATAAATACAAATTTGGTATTTGGTGACTTGACTTTTATTTCTGTCAGGCTGAAGTGAAAAAACTTGGAAAGAGACTGATTCAAATAACAACACAAAACAGCATAAGAAAACCGCATATATTTTTTTTATTTTACAATTTTGTAAACAACAGCGGCTGATTAAACTAAATGTCTCACCTTGTATAATTTTACGACTTTTTATTTAACCAAGAAATGATCCGAAAGGCCTGGGAAATTATCAGATCCGCTTATGTGGCTGCAATGCGCGGCGCGCTCCCGACACAGGTATGGAGAGATATTTGTGCCATCGGTTTGAGCGCGCAGGAACCAATCCGAGCGCGCAGTGAGACAACACGCGCGCGCGCAAAACCGGTCTGGTGCGCGCTCAACTCTGAAAAACCCTCTCAACACACTGTTCTCGCGCACAGTTTCATCTCTGCGCGTGCTCGAATCGTCTCTGCTCGCGCTCGCTCGACCTGCTCTCTCTCCGCGCTCAACACCAGCTGTGCGCTCGGCTGTTTCTCCGCTCTCTCGACTCTCTGCGCTCGCAACTTCAGCAATGTATGTAAATGAACCATACCATCAGCCAATCACACCCAGCTTCTTTTCATCCAATGAAAGCATTCCTTCCTTCTTCTTCTTCTTTTCTATCATGGCGGATCGCAAGCAACTTTAGGGTGTATACCGCCACCTACTGTTCATGAGTGTGTAGCAACATTGTTTTACATCTATTAAATTCTATTTTTTAATTTTGCATTCTGAAGATAACTAAATAATGCTTTCCTTAATCTATAAATATCCTTTATATTTCCTTTATTTCCCAATAATCCTTTAAGACTCCATTCTTGGCCTGTCATTTCAACTACTCTTCTCAATTTTTCCCTTTCAGGTTCATATGTTTTACAGTTCATTAATATGTAAGCATTCCTTCCAAATACTACATCCGGTTAAATGAAAAAAATAAATAAATAAAAACACAATCAGGAGAATCAAAAACTCTTACAGTTATTTTGTCAACATTCCTAAGATAGTACTATAAAATATCTTGAATTATCTCAAATAAACTTCAGTAAAACAGTCATTAGATCATTGCCTCATCCATCTCTTTTACCTGCTTTTGACATGGATTTAAATTTGCTGTTTTAAAAGAAAAATAAGGAGGATATTTCAGGTTCAAGTATGGTTCAACAGTATATAGATAATGTTTTGGATCATATTGGCCTTACTCTTAGCTTTTGTGGCGGGTGTTTCTTCTTTTTGTTGTTTTTTATGGAGGTTGGCAAACAACAATTACCGCCACCAACTGAAAAATCCTGTTTATCAAATTATTCTTTTTAATATATATAATAAAGAATAACCCTCTTATTTAGAGTCCATCTGTAAAAGGTCTTCTAAATAATAATTGTTAAATTTCAGATCAGGTCTGCTGTCTGAATAATTGCGTTTAAATTAATATAACGGTCGCTGATCTAAAATCAGAGCAAACTAAACTTCTTAATGGAACAATTTCTTCAATCCATTGTAAGGCCAATATGATCCAAAACATTTCTCCTTTGTAGGCTGAATTCCATCACTGATTCTTTTACCCGATTTAAAAATAAATTCTGAAACTAAAACAAAACACCATTCCTAATATTGGAATATTTTTGAAGCATCCATAAAAAATTTAACATATCCATAATATTTTTTATCTATATATTGTTGAACCATACTGGAACCTGAAATATGCTCCTTATTTTTCTTTTAAAACATCAAATTTAAATCCATGTCAATAGCAGGTAAAAGAGATGGATGAGGCAATGATCTAATAACTGTTTTACTGAAGTTTATTTGAGATAATTCAAGATATTTTATAGTAATATCTTCTGTCCATCAAATGGTTAGGAAACTGTAAGAGTTGTTTGATTTTCCTGATTGTGTTTTTATTTATTTTATTTTATTTTTTTCATTTAACCGGATGTAGTATTTGGAACGAATGCTTACATATTAATGAACTGTAAAACATATGAACCTGAAAGGGAAAAATTGAGAAGAGTAGTTGAAATGACAGGCCAAGAATGGAAACTTAAAGGATTTTTGGGAAATAAAGGAAATATAAAGGATATTTATAGATTAAGGAAAGCATTATTTAGTTATCTGCAGAATACAAAATTAAAAAATAGAATTTAATAGATGTAAAACAATGTTGCTACACACTCATGAACAGTAGGTGGCGGTATACACCTTAAAGTTGCTTGCGATCCGCCATGATAGAAAAGAAGAAGAAGAAGGAAGGAATGCTTTCATTGGATGAAAAGAAGCTGGGTGTGATTGGCTAATGGTATGGTTCATTTACATACATTGCTGAAGTTGCGAGCGCAGAGAGTCGAGAGAGCGGAGAAACAGCCGAGCGCACAGCTGGTGTTGAGCGCGGAGAGAGAGCAGGTCGAGCGAGCGCGAGCAGAGACGGATTCGAGCATGCGCAGAGATGAAACTGAGCGCGAAAACAGTGTGTTGAGAGGGTTTTTCAGAGTTGAGCGCGCGCCAGACCGGTTTTGCGCGCGCACGTGTTGTCTCACTGCGCGCTCGGATTGGTTCCTGCGCGCTCAAACCGATGGCACAAATATCTCTCCATACACAGGTGGAACTGATTTTCACATGGGAACAGAATTTCGCACAACACCGGAAAAGGATCTCTGTTGAAGCAAAAACATAAAAAATAAAGTCGAGTAATGCCCATGCTTCTGTGAGTTGTTTAGCGGATAGCTGAGCATGAATCAATAATTTT